ACTGCCCCTGGCTCCACCGCCTCCCCTCCCAGATCGCCCACTACCTCAGGCAGGCGCTGGCCTCCCCGGACACCCGGCCGGCGCTGCGTGGCCCGCTCTGGGCCAGCCTGGCCCAGCTGCACAGCCAGCACGGACAGCATGGCAGGGCCATCGCCTTCATGACTCAGGCCGCGGAAGCTGACGCCCAGACTGGCGGCCACTGGGTCGTGGACCACCTGGTGGCTGTGGCCTGGTTGCACGTGCTTCACGGGCAAAGCCTGGTGGCCCTGGACATCCTGGAGTCCGTCCTGGACGCGGCGGTGGCCACCCTGGACCAGGAGGGCGTGATCGCCAACATGGCAGGCATTGCCCTGAAGAGGACGCGCAGGACCCGGCAGGCGGCCGAGGGCTACTATCGCGCCCTGCAGGTGGCCAGGCGCCTGGGCCGGCTGCGGAACCAGGCGGTGGTCCTGGCCAACTTCGGGGCCCTCTGCCTGCAGGCCGGCGCCGGCGGGCTGGCGCAGCACTACCTCCGGGAGGCTGTGAAGTTTTTCTCGCGGCTGCCCAGCGGGGAGTGCGGCCGGGACTTCACCCAGGTTCTCCTGCAGCTGGGGCTCCTCTGCACCCGCAGGGCGCTCACCCACCAGGGCAAGTGCTACTACGAGTGGGCCCTTCTGGTCGCCGCGGAGACAGACCACCTGGAGAGTAAGTGTCGGGCACACTGGCTCCCTGGAAAGGAAACATGCTGTGCAGAGCACACCTGGGGTTTGCGATTCAGAGGCGAGCGGCTGTTTTCCACCAAGAATGCTGAGTAGTGGAAACCAGCAGGGGCTGGCAAGAGCTTTGAGGGTGTCCCGTGCTGGGCCGGACATCAGCAGGGCAGCCAGCTTGTCCAGGCTTGCCTGGGACTGCTCTGCTTTGTGCGCTGAGAGTCCCGAGACTGGGCGTCCCAGCAGTGTAGGGCAGACGGGCTTGCCCCCGGCCAGGCAGGAGCGGCCGATCAGAGGAGCGGCGTGAGTCTTGGTCGCTGGATGCTGTAGTTGGTGCTCTCTCCTTGGCATCGCCCAACAGCCCTGCACACCAGATACCTCCCCCTGCACAGGGGGTGCAGGGAAGTTTCTTCGTCCAGCAGCAGCTTGTGTGAGTATGCCAGGCTCTGTGCACGGCTCCACCTGCCAACAAGACCCAAGTGAGCCTCGCAGGGGGCTGGCGGCCAAGCGTTGGAAACAGGTGCCTGGGATCACAAGAGCCACAAAAGCAGGTGCTCAGCTGGATGGTGGGTGGCTCCAGTCTGTTCAGTCTGGGACCTAAGAGACAGGAGAGTTTAGTCAAACACGGGATGGGGGGCTGGCAGAAGGAGCAGCCTGTACAAAGGCCCTGAGGATTGTGAGCTGGGCCACGCAGGGAGGTGCACAATTTGGAATGGTTGGGGCAGGCGGTGGGCAGTGAGAACCTCAGGCTGGGGGCTAGGCAGGGGTGTAGGAACCCAGGCTGTGGTTTGGCGTTTTCCCTGAGAGCACTGGGGAGCCACTGAGGGATGTAGGACACTCACCGGGCTGGAAGGGGACCCTCTGGACCTCCAGGAGGAACCAAGTGCTGGGCCCTCCAACCAGCTCTGTGGCCTTGGACAGGTCCTGGCGGTGCTCACCAATGTCACGTAGCCCCCGGAGGACCTCTCGGAAACTCCCCGTGAGCCCCTCTCCCACCAGGGAACTAGAGGATTCAGACTTGGGAAAGCCAAGCTGGGGGGCCCGGGGGGGGGCGTGTTTTTCCCCTCCTCCATATGAACAGTGAGGAGACTAAGGGCTGGGGCGGCGTCCTGGGGTCACCCGGTGCTGGCCCTGGCTCGTTTCTCCGTCCATGTCGGCAGTCTGTGTCCTTCTAGGGTTCGTCCCTTCCATCCAGGTGTCTGATTTGTCGGTGCGCAGTTGTTCACAGAATCCCCTTTGTTTCTGTGAGATCGGTGCTAGTGGCCCCTCTTTCACTCCTGATTCTCGCCATTTCCACCTCCTTCCTTTTTCTCCTGGTCAGTCTGCTGACAGTTTGTCAGTGTTGTCGACCTTTCCAGCGAACTGTCATTTGGTTTCACTGATTGTCTCTGTTGTTTTTCTGTTCTCTAGTTTATTCATCATTTCCACCCGAACTTCTATTTTTCCTTCCTTTGGCCAGCTTGGGTCTGGTTAACTCTCCTTTTTCCAGTTTCCTAAGGGAGAAGTTCAGGGTTTTGATTTGAGATTTTAATTCTTTTTTTAACGAAGGTGTTTACAGCAACAAAGCCCCTGTAAGCACTGCTCTCTCCGCATCTCCTAGGCGGTGCTGAAATGCTCGCTCTTCCCAAGCATCTCCTCATTGCTGCTGTGATTTCTTCTTTGGCCCACTGGGTATTAAGAAACATGCTGTTCATTTCTACAAACTCATGAATTCCCCAAACTGCCTTCTGTTACTGCTGTCTGATTTCGCACCACCGCAGCTGGAGAAGGTGCTTTGTATGGCTTCAGTCTTCTTACGTGTAAGGAGAGGTGTTCTGTGGTCCAGCCGCTGGTCTGTCCTGGAGGAAGTTCCACGGGTGTGTGAGGCCTTGTGTTCTGCTCTTGCTGGGGGCATGTCGCGGAGTCTCTTAGGTCTGGCTGGTTCACGGCGCTCAAGTCTCTAACCTTGTTCCTCTCTGGGTCACTTTTAATAAAGGAAGCTCCCAGCCATCCCAGCCCTCTGGTGTTAGGAGATGCTAGTGAGACGCTGGTTTTGGAGGCTGGCTTCATGAAGGAGCATTGGCTTTGGAATGCCGGAGCCAGATTTGAATTTTGTCTCCACGGCATGCCGTGTGCTCTAGACTTGGTACTCAGCTTTGAACTCTGCTGGTCTGTCGGCAACATGGGGTCATCAGCTCTGAGTGAGGGCAGCCCCTGTTTGGCTGGGAGGAGTTCTGTGATGCAGAAACAGCGTCCTAATGCGCCGGGAGAGCCCGGCCTGGGGTTATAAAAGTGGTCACTGCTGTCTCTCACGCACCCAGGACGTGCCCTGCGGGGCCCCAGCAAGGAATGCCCGCCAGCTGTGTGACCTTGAGTGGGACCCTCAGCCCTGTCCCCCGTGTGCCATGGCCCCAGCTCCCAGAGGCGTGGCGAGGCAGGCATGTGGCCGGGGCCTCTGACCCAGCAGACGTCGCTGTGACGTGTGATGTGGCCTCTTCCTCTGTCTCCCGCCCAGGCCAGCTGCGTGCCGTCCAGAGGCTCTGTCACTTTTACAGCGCCGTCACGCCCAGCGAGGCCCGGTGCGTCGTCTACCACGAGTTCCAGCTCTCGCTGGCCCGCAAGGCAGCTGACAAAGTGCTGGAGGGGCACCTGCTGGAGACCCTCGGCCAGCTCTACCTGTCCCTGGGCACCGAGCGGTGAGGGCCAGCCCTCGGGGGCAGGGCGGGGCGGGGCGGGGAGAAGGCTGGCCCACCGACACAGCACAGCCCCTCCTCAGGTGCCACTTCGCTCCTTAGCGTCAGACGGGCTGTGGGCCAGCAGGCCTCGTCTTGTCCCCCGGGGAGGCAGAGTGCGTGTTTCTGGCCATTCTTCCTGCCACGGTGGCTTCTGCAAGCTGACCCCACTGGCCCAGCTGTGGGCGGGGTGGTCTGGTCCTCATCTGCCCCCTTGGAGGACAGCAGCCACAAGTGCCTGGAGGGTTCTCGTCCACAGGAGGACTGCGGCTGTCCCGCCTGCTTCCCGGGGCAGAGGTTCAAGTCTGCATGTCCCGTGTGAAGCCCGCCCAGAACAGCCTGACTGGGGCTGGCTACAAACGGTGGGGCCACACTGCCTGCAGGGAGGGCCAGCAGAGTCTCTGATGACACCCCCCCGTGTGGGGCTCCCTGGGAGCAGGGAAGGAGCCAGGTTTCCCAGGACTTGGGAGACGGCCTCCAGCATCATCCTCGGACCTCGGTTTCACGGCAGGACCGATGGGCCAGCGCCCTAGATCGATGCTTCTCAAAGTGGGGGCCCCAGGTCATCAGTGCCCACGCCATCTGGCGCTAGGTGGAAATGCTCCCTCCCAGGCCTCACTCCAGACCTCCGGAGCTGGCAGCTCCGGAATAGGGCCCTGCAGTCTGTGTTTGATTGGCTTCCCCTCTTCCCTTCTGCCGAGGGGTGGCTCTGATGCTCACTCACTCAGCAGGAAAACCACTGGCCTGGACAGTGTCTAAATTTCTGCCCAGGGGCCACAATCCCAGCTGCGTCTGGAGGCGATGTGGGCCCACGTTTGGGAAGGCAAGACAGAGATGGTGGTGGGCCCTGGGGCTGCCTGTTTCCCTCCCAAGGGTCTCCATCTTTGCTACGAGCCTGCTGTGCTCATCCTGGCTCTCCCATTGGCCTGGGAAGGGCAGGCTCTATTCCTGCTCCCGACATCCTAGGTCCATCATCGCCAGACAGGCCCTGGGGAGAGCCTGGCCCACCCGCTGTGGTGGCTAGCCCGGGAGCACTGTTCTGACGGCCCACGCCTAATTCCAGGGCCTACAAATCCGCGCTGGACTACACCAAGCGCAGTCTGGGGATTTTCATCGACCTGCAGAAGAAGGACAAGGAAGCACATGCCTGGCTGCAGGCGGGGAAGATCTACTACATCCTGCAGCAGAACGAGCTGGTGGACCTGTACATCCAGGTGCGCGGGTGCGGGGCGTGCACCACGCACTCACTCATCCCTCAGTCACAGCCGCGCACCTGCTACTTGCCAGGTGCCCGAGCCATCGCCCCACCCCTGGACGCCCACCACGCAGCATCATCCATACTGATCTGAGCTCTGGGGGCAGAGGCGGGGGCCCCACGGTGCCCACTAGCGTGTTGGTATACAGCAAGTGCTCGATAAATGTGCCAAGGCTGGCCCACCAGCTGACACACAGAATTTGCTTCAGCTGCACCCGGCGTTTCTCCCTAAAAAATGCATTTCTCAGAAAAGCTCTGTTTTTAGACGCTTTCTCGAATGTGACATGACTGGCAGCAAATTGAGAGGCCCAAGACCCCTGTGGGTTTACTCCTTTTTGAGCACCTGCTGTGTACGCCCCTAAGCCAGGGGCTGAGGCTCCAGATCAGGAGCTTATGGCCGAGACAGGGGCAGACTCCTCAGTGAACAATGCCACCTGGGGCCAGGGCCGCAGGGCGTAAAGCAGCCGGGAGGGTGGGCTCGGTCCGCCTAGGTGGTCACGGAGGCTGTTAGAGCTGCAGGGCGTGGGGGGGCGCAGTGCCCACCCGGGGAGGGGGCGTCTCCGCACCGGGACTCACAGGGGCAAAGCCCCAGAGGTGCACGGAGCGTGGCAAGTCCTGGGGCTGCACGCTGCTGGGCATGGCTGGACTGCGGGCCGGGGCGGTCACTCACTGGCACATCCTGTGCAGCCCCGGGCGCAGCAGAGGGGCGACAGCCTCCGTCCTCTGGTGGGAGGGACACGGGGACATGTGGTCAGGCGTTACTAAGGGCCCGGGAGGGAAGGTGGCGGGACCCACGGCCCCTGGATGAGGAGCGCCCCGTGAAACTGGCCAGAGTGCCGTTGTCCGGGCGTGGCCACAGGGTTCAGAGGCCGGCTCTGCGCTCCGTCCCAGGCGGCCGCCAGTCCACACCTGCTGGTTCCTGGGGCCTCAGCTGGGCAGGCCTCCTCAAGCGACACGGGGCTTAGATTACCATCCTGCCCCCAGTGGGCAGCAAGGGCCCCGAGTGCACAGGGACTGAGGTGTCGAGAGGAAGGAGCCCTCGAGGCTTGCTGGTGCAGTCGGGGCACATGGGGCCATCTGAGGGGTCCCAGAGGGCCCGGCCACCTCACCCTGCGGGGTGCTGTGGGTTCCAGAAGGGTCCCTGCATCCTTGCAGGTGGCACAGAACGCAGCGCTGTGCACGGGGGACCCCCACCTGGGGCTGCAGCTCTTTGAGGCGGCTGGAGACATCTTCTTCAACGGGACCTGGGAGCGGGAGAAAGCCGTGACCTTCTATCGGGTGAGCGGCCACTGTGCGTCCAGGAGGGTGGGCGTCAGGTGGGCGTCCCTCAACGGGCCCAGGCACAGGTGTGGCGGGCAGAGGCCCCCCACCTGGAGGCAGGACCCCCCAAGCATGTGTTTAGTTTCCTGGCAGTTTGGCCGGGGATGACCTTGACCCCCACGCCCTACCTGGGAGGAAGAGAGCAAGGAAGGACGGGGGAGGGCCAGAGGCAACTCTTGGCTCATAGCCTGCATCCCGGTAAGCCAATCACCCATGGATGTGAGGCCTGTCCCCTCATCTTACAGATGAGGAAACAGGCTCAGAGAGGCACCGGGGCGTGTCCAAGGACACAGCACATGGGGACTGGGCCACGGCCCAGGTCTGCGCGTGCCTCCCAGGGAGGGCGGCTCCTCCGCCCTCTGTCTGTCCAGCTCAGGGCTTGTGACTCAGCCCCAGGGTGCAGATAAATGTGGTGTTTTCAGAGCCCAAGGGGGTGTTGTGCTGTTGGGCCCTCCTGGTTGGGCCCTTCTCACCCTGGGGGGGCCAGGCTGGTCTGAGATATGTGGTGTAGCTAGTAGGTAAGTCTCACACCCTAACCTGCTCAGGGCCCAGGGGCCCTGGGGTGTCACGACACCCTGAGCTGACCTTTCTCTTGGGTGGTGGTGGGCAGAGCCATTTAATGCTCCAGTGGGATGGTGGGGGCGGGACTGGGGGCTCTGAGTTGGGTACAAGGCCTGGGCTGGCTGCTCTGATAGGAGGCCTGACCTAGCCACCTGTGCTCGCAGGACCGGGCGCTGCCCCTGGCCGTGACCACCGGGAGCCAGAAGGCGGAGCTGCGGCTCTGCAACAAGCTGGCAGCCCTGCTTGGGGAGACGAAGACCCCGCAGGAGGGCCTGGAGTTCGCCCACACGGCCCTGGCGCTCAGCATCACCCTGGGTAAGCCCCCACCCCAGCCCCACCGGCCTCCGCCTCTGAGGGCCGAGGGCAGGTGGAAGGCAAAAGATGGACTGGCTGTGGCTGGGCTCCTCTGGGTGCAGGCCACCTCTCCCACGGGCCAGCTGAGATGGGCAGCAGCAAGCCTGCCCGCCCCATCCAGGACCTGCCACACTTGCCGCGTGCTGGGCTCCACTGCCTTCCTCTGTCCCCTCCCTTGCTGGCCACGAGGCCGGCCAAGGCGCCCTGCACTCCGGACAGTCCTGAAAGTGCCAGGCAGCTATCTGCATGCTGTCCCCACCCGTTGCCCCTTCCCCACTCTCAGCCCATCTCTGGCTGGCCGAGCCCCAGCCCCTCCGTGCCAGCATCCCTCTCCCTAATGTGCTGTTCCAGGCGGTCCTGTCTTCCTTCAGACGGGGAACCCAAGAGGCCAGGCACATGGCAGGTGCACAGCAGGTGCCTGCAGGCCCCACAGTGCACGCCGTGGGAAGGGGCAGATCCCAGGGCCGCTTGGTCTGGGGACACCCTCCGGACGGGGCTGGGGGGGCTGCTGACGATAGAGCAGGGAAGACAAAGTTCATGTCTGCAGGTTGCCGGGGCCCTGGGCCTGA